CTGTTGTGTGGTTGCATCAAAAACAACAGCAGTTGTATAAACATCTCCCAGTGTTGTACTATTTTCATCAACATTGTCGGTAATGTCGTATACTTCAGACGTGACAAAATCTGGTGTGGTATGTATGTCCAATGTTGTCCCATATTTTGTAGAATATCCTGTGTCTCCATCCTCTGAAAATATTAATACCCATAGTTACGTTTTTTTTATTTATTTATTTATTTATTTATTTATTTATTTATTTATTTATTTATTTATTTATTTATTTATTTGTTTGTTTGTTTGTTTGTTTGTTTGTTTGTTTGTTTGTTTGTTTGTTTGTTTGCTTGTTTGTTTGTTTGTTTGAATATGTATTCAAATTTCTAGAACTTGAGCAGTGCATTATAATAATTCAAGCAGAGTAATTATGATTTACCACAATAAATGTTAGTTGGGTCAATCTTATTACGTCATTAATGAGGTATCAACAAAAAAAGGTGCAAGATTTATATGTTTAGAAATTAGGCATGACACACACTATCCATAATCCCTGAGACCTGTTTTTTTCACTTGCAAGAAATTGTATGTACAACGTTACAATATTGTATAATGTATACTGTAAAATGCTTTATTTTCACTTGAAATCAATTTTCGCTATTTTCTGCTGAAGGAATAATTCAATGAAAATAAAATCCAGTGATCATATCTTTTTTTCCTATATTTTACATTCAACTTGTCAAAAACTATTGAAAAAAAACTCCATACAAAACACCCAAAAAGTCTTTTCACCAAAAATGTATTCCAGCTAAAATATATTATTTAACAGTATGTTCTCAGTGTCAACATTTCAGTTATGAGTGTTACAAATTGACACTAATGACAAAGGAAATATTTTAAAATTAAAAGAAGGAATATTGGGTTCATGGGCTGACTGATTCCTGTCATAGGATAGGCGCCTGTTGAGTATGTGTCTAATAACCGTGCACAAATTTACGCTCAAATGAATCGAGCGCCCTCTATTGACTACATGACAATCTGGAACATTAGTTATAGCGCCATCTACGTGAGAACAACAATTATATTCGCACTGTATGTAGTTTCTTTGCTCATTTTGCCTCACTTAGTTTTCAGATTTAGCTACCAAACTTTACAATACCTTGATAATTAACGCTTGACGCATCAATGTTGTATCTTGATGAACCATTCAGGACGCTGATTAAAACATCATTAAGATTGGTGGCAGTGATATTGGAACTTGCATCACTAATTACCGTATGAATAACGACCACACTTCCATTCCTGAAATGGGATATGTATTGGTTAATGCAATAGACCATTTTCCGTACACTGCGAGAATCACGCGTTATGCGTGAAATCGAACGTAAAAACAGGACAAACAAAGGACATAGCGTCGTAGTGGCGTCAAACATCGCGTGGGATTCGACAAACGCGAAAGTATTTTGGGGACATTTCCATGCTTAATAATGTGCTGTCCACATTTGATGATAGGCAATTTCGATTAAGTGAGGGTATTCGGAAGCAATATTCCTCTGTCGAAGATCGACCGGTCGGTGTGAGCTACGAAATAAGGAAATTCGAGTTCAAAATCAAATCGTTCGATTTTTGCGGCAGACGTTCGACGCGCGTCTTTCATGCATCTTGCGAGATCTCGCAATTGTACGGAAAATCACCTATTAGGTACTTTGTAAGCTGGAACACTACATGTATTGTCAAACAATCATTGCGTTCAAATGTGTACCGTTCTCTGCGTGATAGTGATCGGTGTACCTGGCTGAGGTCGTCGGGCTGCGCGTTTCCCATATTCCATTTATGCTCAGATTGACGCGTACACAGCAGGAATTGGGCCGCATCGAATGACTCGTATTTAGCGCCTATCGCGACCAGTTCGAAACTCATATTCATGCTTGCCGCCGGAAGAGCGCAGTGGCTTGTAGAGAATTCCTGTTTATCAAAACAAATCTCTATCGTGGTGCAACAACAATCGCGCTTGATATTAACCTTGCTTACCTACTGAAAATGAGTTATCAAACGAAAATCGTGACAACAGCTACGGTAACACTGGCACAAATATATGTCATTAGACGTCACGGAGTTATTTGGTGCATGTAACGGCAAATGACTCGAGTCGCGAATCTCGTCTACATGACTGCGAGAGTGCCCGCCCCGCCAGGGACTGGTGTCAACGTCCTCAACGATTACGATTGTAAAGCATTCTTGATCGAAATAACATTGTAAGCGCGAAGGTCAACGAGGGCACGTCGGTTACAAAAGTGCGCGAAGAAACCAGAGCAGTAGTTCGCCGTCATTTTTCCTGGTTTGGGGGTATAATTGTGAAAGGTTACCGCGTGAGGTCGCACAAATCACTCGAGTCACCACACTTCATAAGTGATTTCACTATTTGTCTTTTGATAGTAAACAGTTTTGTCCGTCAGCTAGCGAGGGTTCTACCAACTTGTTCACAAGGTGTGCATGTTTGTTGGTTGGGGTTAGGGTTAGTTTCGTTGTGAAGTACCTGTACTCGCCCGCCAAATATTATTATGAAAAGTCCGCAATTTACTCGTGATTATATAAGATTTTTTTCAAGCATTTATATTTCCTGATTACACTAACTGTGACGAAAGTTAAATATACGTAAATTGCGTTGGCGTTGTATTATACAAAATATGAACTCGATAGGTTATGTATAGGTACTTATACTGGGGGGAAGGGGGTAGCTGGTACAGTTTTACGGGAAATAAAAAGGGCTTTTTACAATTTACAAGGAAAAAAAGACGTTTTTACAGTTTACAGTGAAAATTGAATGTATACAGTTTACAGAGAAAATAAAAGTTATTTTACATTTTACGGAAAACCTAGAATAATCTTGAATGTACCGAAAAAATGACACATTTTTACAGAGTACGAAAACAATATTTGATCGATTACGTTGTACGTCTAGCCTGTGATTACAGAATTACGGAATTTATATTTTCAATTTACATTGTACGAACAAAAAAATATTGCAATTACGTTGAACGAAAATAACCATTGCCCCTTGTAACAAATGACGAGGAATACAAATGTTGAATAATTTGAAAGCCTATATTCGGAGATGTATTTATATGGTAACGTATTCAATGTAATGACTAGTATTCAGTTATGTATGCTATACGATGTGACTGTCAGGCAAACACAACACACAATACCGTCGATGACACAGCAAGAAAGGAGTGCGACGGAGCGTGAGTATTGTGCGCTTGAATTCTGAAACTCAATCTGTATTGAGAAACACTTATACCTGTAAGTTTCTACGGATACTGTTTTGCACTGATATATGGCTTTGTCGTATACGCGTTATCACCTAGGTGTAAGGTCACCATAAACACCAAATCAGTACATGTGTGTGATATGGCACCGGACTACTTTACAGTCTAGTTTGCCGCAATTGTAAAGTTGGAAGTGTTTTTAAACAGGCACAACGTGTGGGGTACACAACAAAAACGATACATGTACTGGATAAATATTTACAATGTTGTGTCGTTTTAAGTATTTTTGTACGGCGACAATTTCTCATCGCCTTTCCCGGCGTGTGCCGGCAGTGCCTGCACCAGTTCATTGGTATGATTCGTACGATCGTTCGTACCGTTCAAATTGAATTTCACCAACAGAATTACTGACAAATTTGAATTGGACATAACCAGAAAAATAATTTTGTAAATAATAATTATTTTATTAAACATTAGTCAGCTCAATTGTTTGCATTCGAGGCGTTACGTTTTTTGAGACGAACGGACATTCAATAACAATAAA